AGTTTATTTACTACTTTTGTCTTTTAACCTTCATACTAGCTTTATAAGTGGTGGTTGACCTACTACCTTCACTATATGTTTACCTTTACCAGTGAGATTTTTTTCTTTCATATATTTTCTTAGTTCTAATTATGGCCTTTTCTTTTCCTCTTAAAGAAATCCTTTTAATATTTTTTGTAAAGCTGGTTTAGTAGTGGTGAACTCCTTTAACTTTTATTTGGCTGGGAAACTTTGTATTTCCCCTCCAATTCTGAATGATAACATTGCCAGTTAGAGTATTCTTGGTTATGTTTTCTCATTTCAGCACTGTGAATATATTGTGCCACTCTCTGCTAGTCTGCAAAGTTGCTGCTGAAAAATCAGCTCATTGCCTAATGGGGATCCCCTTATATGCAATTAATTGCTTTTCTCTTGCTACTTTTAAGATTCTTTATCTTTAGTTTTTGACATTTTATTTATAATGTGTCTTGGTGTGGATCTCTTTTGAGTTCATCTTGTTTGGGAGCTGTGCTTCTTAGACCTGGGAAGGTCCTCAGCTTAGGGAATTTTTCAGCTGTGATTTCTTTAAATAAAGTTTTATGCCCCTTTCTCTTTGTCTTCTCCTTCTGGGACCTCTATAATGTGAATGTTAGTACTCAATGTTGTCCCAGTGGTCCCTTAAACTATCCTCATTTTTAAATTCCTTTTTTTTTTTCTTTTTCTTCTTTTCTTCTCTGTTTTCTTTTTCTTTCTTTTTCTGTTCCATTTGGGGTTTTTTTTTTTTTTTTTTTTTTGAGAGAGAGTGAGAGCACGCACGAGCAGGGTTGGGAGGGCGGTTAGGGACTGAGGGAGAGAGAGAATCTCATACAGGCTCCATGCCCAATGCAGAGCCCAATGCAGGGCTCAATTTCCCAACCCTGAGATCATGACCTGAGCCAAAATCAAGAGTCGGATGCTTAACTGACTGAGCCACCCAGGCACTGCAGTTTGGGTGATTTTCATTACCCAGATCACTAATCTTTTCTTCTGTATTATCAAATCTTCTGTTTATCCCCTCTAGCGTATTTTTTTTATTTCTGTTACTGTATTCTTCAGCTCTGATTGGTACTTTCTTATATTTTCTCTTTGTTGAAGTTCTCACTTTGTATTCACTTAGTCTTCTCCAGAGTTTGATAAGCATCTTTATGACCATTACTTTGAACTCTCTATCGGGTTGATTGCTTAACTCCCTTTCATTTAGTTCTTTTTCTGAGGTTTTGTCTTACTCTTTTGTTTGGAACACATTTCTCTTTCTTCTCATTTGGCCTAACTCTGTCTTTGTTTTTAGGTATTAGGTAGTTCAACTACATTTCCCAGTCTTTTTTTTCTTTTTCTTTTTCTTTTTGAAGTTTTTATTTAAATTCTACTTAGTTAACGTACAGTGCAATATTAATTTCAGGTTTAGAATCCATTGATTCAACACTTACATACAACACCCAGTGTCCATCACAACATATATTTCTCAGTCTTGAAGGAGTGGCCTTATGTAGGAGATGTCCTATGGGGCCCAGAAGTACAATCTCCTCTGGTCACCAGAACCAGGTGCTCCTGGGGTGTCCCCCATGTGGGCTGCATGTAACCTCCTGATGTGACGGGGCGGTACTGCCATGGGCACCTTGGTAGGTGGGTCTGGCTTCCAGCCCACCTGGCTGCATACCTGACCTTGACAGCTACAGATGCACTAGTGAGCAGAACTGACCAAGACACCAGTGGTTTGCATCCCCCGACTTTAGCAGTCTACAGGGCGGATTCCAGAATGGTGTCCGCCAGTGCCAATCAGCACAGCAGAACAAGACAGCAGAAATGGCTGCCGCCAGTGTCTAAGTCCCAAGGAGAGGCCCAGCTACCTCCTGTCTCTCCGGTAGGCATTTCAAGTTTAGTGAGTGGGTCTCCTTCACCTGTAGTCCATGTAATTTTGATCTGGTGTTTTTGTGCTTATTTCTGGGTCAAGTAAGTCTACATTAGAGCTCTTTAAGAGGATTTTTTCCCCGCTGCAATTCTTTTTCATGGACATATTCCCTATTGATTTGCAAAGCCAGGTATTTTGGAGGCTTGTCTCTTCTGTGCAGGATCTGAGGGTTTGCATACCTAATGTGGAGTTCAAATCTCTTACTCCTCAGGAAAATGTTCATTATATTTGAGATCCCTCTGTATCATAGAAAGCCACTCCTAGAATGTGGCTTTTTTCCTTAGTGAGACTATATCTCTGCTCCTTCTACCCATCTCAGTGCTGCCCCTTGTTGTAGAGGGTCTGTTCATCCTGTTTCTAGGTCCCCTTCAGAGGGAATTATTCCACATTTGGTTATAGATTTGTTGTCCATGGGAGGAGGTCAGCTCAGGATCTTCCTTTCTGGCAGGACCCTCTTGGACCCATGTTGGACCACCATTGGAGGCTAGTCAGATATTACTAAGTTGTAGAATCTTCTTTGTTTTTTACATACCAGAATCCAGGCTTTTAAACATTTTTGGTAAGGTCTTGAAATTAACACTGTGTTTCATATTTTCAAGTAGGCTCTAGGAAATGCCTTATAGATAACCCAAATTGAAGACTAATAAATAAATCTTCATGCTGTGGCTGTGGTTCCAGTGAAATCTAACCAGTATCAAAAATCTCTCTTCCATACCTAACCTATACTTTTACCAAGTGGCACATTAAATTTGTTAAATTTAGCCTTTAATACCTAACTTAGAGTTACAGATCTATAAAAGTAACATGGAGGAAATCATAATGTAGAGCTATCCAGTATGGCTACCCACTAGCTACACATGGCTATTTAAATCAAAATTTAATTATAATTAAGTATAATTGGGGCACCTGGGTGACTCAGTTGGTTAAGCATCCAACTCTTGATTTCAGCTCAGGTCATGATCTCAGGGTCCTGAGATCAAGTCCCACAACAGGCTCTGCACTCAGCATGGAATCTGCTTGAGATTCTCTCTCTCCCTCTGCCCCCCTTGCACTCTCCAAATAAATAAGTTAATTAATTAATTAATTAAAATATGTTTAAAAATTAAATTAAGTATAATTTAAAATTCAGTTCTTCAGTTACACTAACCACATTTCAAGTGCTTAATAGCTGCTTTTGGCTAGTGGCTGCCATATTACACAACACAGATGTTCTACATCTGCATTGTCCAGTAAATGTTCTACAGTATGGGAGTTTAATTTGACAACATTGTCTAGAAAGTACTTATACAAAAGCCACTTTAGTTGAAAGTGACTTATATATAAAAATGCCCATATGGTGGCTTTTCAAGAGGAAAGGTAATCAGATTGTTTATAAATAGAGCCTATAATTTCATTCCATTGTGCCTAAAAAGTGACTCTTACTTTATAAATCCCACTTTCTTTTACTAAAACTTCTACCCTAAAAGATTTACAAATGCAGAATTTCTTAAGACTACATATGCAGAATTATATGTGGAGTACGTTCAAGAGTCCCAGAATTTTTCCAGTCCATCTTGTGCTGATCTTCCTTTCTATACATTTGCTCACTAACTTCTCCATAATGTGCTGACTTAAATGTTTATGACATATATGTATATTTTTTAAACTTCTATCTAATCTTCTGTCTTAGACTGTAGCTCCTTGGTAGACAGAGGCTAATATAGAGCCATTTTTGTGTGTCATATTGAGGTAAAGCCTTTAAGTGTCACACACCCCTATATTTTTCAACTTTGTATAAGAAAGTGATTATCTTTGCTTTGAAGGAAATATGGCCAATCATCCCTTGGTGAGAATGATAAAATATTTTTTTCTCCCTCAATTTTTTTCAAAAGCATACCCTTCGAATAAATTCTACACTGTAATGCTTGAATCCAGGATGAATCAGGGAAAAGTTAGGAAGAGCCTAGAACATCTTATGCCAGAAAGTAAAGTACTCAAAAAATGATAGGGGCCTAGTCAGAAGATGTAAGAGCCAGCCTGACAGCGTTCCCACTAGCCGTATCTGGGAGGAATTAAGTATAATAATGAATTATAAACTGTTGAAAAAATAAGAACCTGTGAGTTCATACTGATGATATATGAATTAATAGATAGTTGGATGGATGGATAAGAAAGGAAGGCCCTTGTTTATAGTAGAATGCTGACTGATAAATGTGGATGAAATGGTGAAGTTGGAAAATCACCATTGTGCAACCATCACAATAAAGATTGATTTAGGCAAGAATTATCAGTGGATGCTAACTATAAGGGGAAAGTTTTGACAAGGAGCAAGATACTTACATAGTCTCGTCTTCCCACATACTGCTTCTTAGTTATAAGGAAGAAAATAAGTTTAAATTGGAAAAACCCGTGAGAGGCAGATTGGCCTCTGATTGTGATACCTTGACAGACATTCAGCATCACTTATGTCATATTTGTATATAAGTCGGATGCATAACCTGAATTTAATCATGAGGAAACATCAGACAAAACCAAAATGAAAAACATTCCATTTAAAAAAAAATGACCTATATTCTTTGAAATGTCAGTGTTGCGAAAGGGGAGAGGAATGCAGGGGGAAGGCTGAGGAACTATTCCAGATTAAAGGAAACCAAAGAAACATGACAATTTAATGTTAATCTTTGATCTAGGGCTGGATCTAGACTCGAAAAAAATGATAGAAAGGACATAATTGGGACAGTAGCCAAGATTGGAACATGAATGGTAGGTTAGATAAAAAGTATTATATTGATGTTAAATTGCCTACATTTGCTAACGATGCTGTGGTTATGTTAGAGAACACCTTTGTTCTTAGGAAATACACAAGTATTAAGGAGTAAAGGGGCATGAAGTCTCTAACTTATACTCAAATGATTCAAGAAAATAATTGTGCGTGTGTGGAGAGAAAATACAGTAACAAATGTACCACATCTTAACAGTTGGTGAATTTGAGCAAGAGCTACAAAGAAGTTTTCTATTCAAGTCTTGCAACTTTTCTGTAAATTTAAAATTATTTCAAAATAAAAATTTAAAAATTCTATTCCATGTTTTCTAGCCCTCTCTAAGGCACAGAATGATGTGATGACAATGAGAATGCAATCAGAGCATCTTTCAAAAGAATATGACCGACTCCTGAAAGAACACGCAGAACTTCAGGTGGGTGACCTCAACTTTGGGGATCTAAGTTTTTTGAAATAATAATTACTGAGTAATTATTTGGGTTATTTGCCCTTCCCAAATCAAGAGGATGCACTAGTCCTGGCTTCTTAAAAATGATCAAGGAAACCAGATTTTTACCTAGATGGTGAAGATGAGGACATTGCATGAAAATACAAGACAGTCATAGCATAGAGAATTACTGACATGCTAACATACAGCGTTCTAGTTTTAGTGAAATTTTAAGCCAAAGAATTGAGCCACAAAAGTGACAGCATTGAAAAACAGACTGGTTCTGTAAACATTTCATTTTGCCATTGGCAGTGTTTGCTCTATTCGTGACAGAATATAAGGTCAAAATTTGAAGTCCCACCTCACACTACTTCTGTCCCAGTGTTTTAGACATCTTGGGTCAAAACCTATGGCATTCAAATACATGATTTGCCTCCAACATGGATTTAAAGACAGAAATGGAAAAAACCTTTTTGTTATTAAAGTCACAGAGTCAAGGGATATCTATAGGTTTTCTTTCTCTTCCCCTCCAGCCCAGCAAGAGCCCGTGGCCTGCATTCATCCATGCTAAATGTGACTGTCGCTTCCCTCTTAATTTGGCAGCCCCTAATCTGAATTGATTTCCCAGCCACACTTTGACCACATGTGGGGAGAATTTGGGGGAAAGACCATTCCAGAGGCAGTCCTGGCCCCCCAGTTCCTCCTGAGATGATAGGCTGTGCTCTGCTGCTTTCAGTTTGGGTTTATCCTGAGAATTTGGCAGCTTTTGTGGCTTTCAATCAGGGCTTTTTAGCAATTACAGCTCTATAGTTACTTCACTATAGGAGAAGCCCTGGTCCCAGGACTCATTTGTGCCTTACTGGTCATTGTATCTCCAGGGTCTTGCACTGTGCCTGGCAAAAGGCAGGCAGGTACTATACTGATAGACCTTAGAGTCAGACCGACCTGGAATAACTCAAACTCTCATACTAACTAACTTTATGATCCAAGCAAGTTATGTTACCCCTCTGCAGCTCACTTTTCTTCATCTGTAAAATCAGAATAATAATAACACCTGGCCCACTGGGTTTTCAGTAGAATTAAATAGAATGTGTAGGGTACTTAGCGTTGTGCCTGGCTGGTAGGAGACACTCAAGAAATGATACCTATTAGAATTATCATTGTCATCATCAGCATACGTGCCTCTGTAGAACTTGTGCTGGAAGAATGACTTATTCTCAACCAGCCACTTTAGCCTTGATTTAGAGCCAGCCAAGAAGCAATCCAAAACACATTTGTAATCTAGTATTTTAGCTGAGTTGCATGTTTAAGTTAACTAACCTACTTTGACAATAGGGCAGTCCAGAGAAGGGCAGATACCCTGTGTGCTCAAACCTAGGACACCAAGAGCTCAGTTCACATGTTCTAGAGTAGGTGGTTAGATGTTCATCAAGACCACCCTTTCCCCATCTCTGAAACACAGGTCCTGAAATTGCTGACTTCACCATGGCCTGATGAGAATTACTCCAGAGCATGCTTCAAGATCCGCCATGGAAAGTGAAGGAATACTTCAGAAGCCTTTGGCCTAAAAATAGAACTTTTTCTCCCTTCCATTGGTGAGGTCAGGGTGTACTCAAAAGGATGATTGTCTCCCTGAATGGAGAAAGAAGAAGCAGGAATATTCCCTCATTTTCTTATGGCCAGTGGCCATCACTGAATGTCCCCGTTGTGGTAACAGCTAATGATCTCTTAATCCCTGAAGAGTATATGTGACAGTGAGACTCCCTCAACCCATTTTCTTTCCCCTCCCAGAAACCCCTTCTGTTGGGAGCTTATGCATTCTTGATAACAGATGTTAAAAAGTTGTTCGGAGTAACTCCTTCCCCAGAAAGAAGTTGTTACACCTGTTTCTTTGAAAAATGACGTGTCCCGGAAATGCCAAGTGCCACACTGAGAGTTGGGCCTTGATCACCAGTGCATTTACTTTCTTCTTTTATTTTTGAGATATGTAATGGGTGACATTTATTGAAGATGTGCCCTGGACCAAGCACTTCATTAATGGCTTCATATATGTTACTCTGTTTACTGTCATCATAGCCCACTAAGTTAAAATATTTTAATACCCAATTTTGTGCATGAGGAAAACAAGACCCAGAGGTGTTATATAATGTACCTAAAGTCACTGAACTAGAAGTTGGTAGGATTCAAAGCTGGATTCAAAAATCAGGAAATTTTTCTCCAGATCCCCCATCATTAAGAACTTTGCTGCTCGGTCTGTTCTGGTCATTGGACTGTGTTCTTGGATCCATTGTCTTCCTACTTCTGCTCTACTTGATCTCAGAGGGCTACATTTCCCAGCCCCCTGGCTCTCTTCTGGGCAGGTTCAGCAATGGGAGCACCAGTAGGAGACTGAAGGCAAGAGGGACAAAGCCAGGGATTTTTCCCACTCTCTCTGTTTCAAGTGGCATCTGCAGCAGCCCCATTTCTTTCCATGGTCCCAGTACCCAGTGGGCAACTTCCACATGGTGACCCTAGCTCCTGGGTCCATAACACTATCTCCTCCCTTGTCCCTCCAGCCCAAAGAGTGGTGGTGGTTCTGTGCTAATCATTGAGGTGTCTTACCACACTGCCCCATGTGTCTACTCTTTCATCACCTGTAAAACCAATTTCCCATAATAAATATCTGTTTGAAGAAAAAAAGACCTCTCAGCTCCATAGTTTGCCAGTTCTGTAAACCTCGGGTGGAGGCTTTGACATCCCTGCACCTTGGCTTCTTCATTACTTAAATGAGGGTTATAATACCTTATGAGTATTAAACCAGATCCTGTACAGTACAAGAAGGCACTTTAAATATTTTTAAACAAGAAAAGCTCTATGTTCCCATAAGATGCTAGTAGTTATTTCTTGATTGGACACATTTTTTCCCTCTCACCCTCCATTGTCCATTGTGAGACCTTGTAGAAGATTCTGAGATTTAAGTGTCATTAAATGACTACCATTTTCTTAAAAGCGACTCATACACTTTGATATTCACCTTCTGAACTCTACTTAAGAAGCAAAAAAAATTGCTGTAGACCGTCTATAGTAAAAAGCTGTATCAACTTGGCGTTTCATGAATTTTACTTCTGTTGTCAAACCAACCTTAATAATTGAATTTTATCTTTAAAGTTCCTTGGGAAACTGAGCTTTCTCAATTTTGCACAGTTGATTTACTTTAAATAAAATAACCATAAAATGACCATTAAACTATTAAGGAAATAAAGGTGAAAGAGGGGAAAGCTGGTTTCCTTACCATAAATGAATCCCACTTTGCATTTTTAAAATCTGTTTGGATTTCCCCATCTGATCCCCTCCCTGTTATAAGCACTAAATAAATATTAGAAGACAATCCCTTCAGGATACAGTCTTTGCCTTTCCTTGTTTGCCCTGGCTCTCTTCTAGAAAAGAAAAAGCAAAACTAACTGAGGATTATGGGCAGCACAAAGCCATCAGCACTTGCCAGTTTTCAAATTTCATTTTGGAAAATCACCCTTCACTTAAGGGACTTATCCAGAATAACAGCTCCATTAAAGCAGTGATTTTTTTTTTTAATCTTCATGTCCACTTTTATTTTGGATAAGTACAAGATTATTTCCTTGTTTTTAATTAAGTATAATTAATATACAGTGTTATATTAGTCTCACACATACAATATAATGATTCAACAATTCTGTACGTTTCTCAGGGCTCATCACAAGTGTACTCTTAATCCCCATCACCTGTTTCACCCATCCCCCCACCCAGCTCCCCTCTGGCAACCACTGGTTTGTTCTCTGTATTTAAGAGTCTGTATTTTTGTTTGTCTCTTTTTTACTTTGTGCATTTGTTTTGTTTCTCAAATTCCACATATGAGTGAAATCATGTGGTGTTTGTCTTTCCCCATCTGACTTATTTTGCTTAGCATTATACTCTGTAGCTCCACCCATGTTGTTGCAAATGGCAAGATTTTGTTCTTTTTCATGGCTGAGTAATGTTCCCTTACACACACACGCACACACACACCATCATCTTTATCTTTTTGTCTATGGATGAACATTTGGATTGTTTACATATCTTGGCTCTTGTAAATAATGCTGCAATAAACAGAGGAGTACATGTATCTTTTTGAATTAGTGTCTTTTTATTCTTTGGGTAAATACCCAAAAGTGGAATTACTGGATCATATGGTAATTCTATTTTTAATTTTTTGAGGAACCTCCGTACTGTTTCCACAGTGGCTGCACCAGTTTACATTCCTACCAACAGTGCATGAGGTGTTTTTTTTTTTCTTCACTTCCTTGCCAACACTAATATTTCTTGTGTTTTTGCTCCTACTCATTCTGACAGATGTAAGGTGATACCTCATTGTGATTTTGATTTGCATTTTCCACAATGTGATGATAAGCATCTTTTCATGTGTCTGTTGGCCATTCATAGGTCTTCTTTAGAAAAATGTCTATTTTGGTCCTCTGCCCAGTTTTAATCCGATTATTTGAGTTTTTTGGTGTTGAGTTGCATAAGTTCTTTATATATTTTGGGTATTAACCCCTTGTCAGATATATCATTTGCAAATATCTCTTCCCATTCGGTAGGCAAAGCTGTGATTTTTACCTAAAGTGACAAGATACATACAAACATGTGAAAGTGGTACCTTATTCAAAATACCTCCTCTAATCCTGTTTTCTGATTTGGTTAATGTTAACATTGTTAAAGTTGCTCTGAAGCCATTACTGCTCAGCCTGAGCAAGAGCTTGGTGAACCTCTCATGTGCAAGCAGTAGCACTTCAACGCCATTTTATGAGGGTTTGTTTTTTTCTCAGTGTGGACTTTTGCTTTCTTAAGTGCAAATGATCTCTGAAGGTTCATTTCTATCCCATTTTCCTCCAGTTTTAAATGATATATTATAATCATCTTGTGATCAGCAAAGAGTATAATCTGAGAAGTCAGTTCTATTGGCAAATATCTGAAGACAAACACACAAAAAAGGCCATCCCATCTGGGGTTTGGGGGTCCCTTTATTCTTTCCTTGCCAAAAATCTTAATTGGGTTTGTAAGAGGAGAATTTGAGAAATTTTGTTTTCCTGGTATAACCTGTGAAACAAAAGCAAAATAGATTAAGGCAGGGAAATAAATGAACTTATCAAGAGTGTTATTTTTCCCCTCAACTTTTTTTTCAAATAAAACTCACAAACTTTGTAGTTTTTTTTAAGTTTGAGACTTTCTCAATCCATGTTTTCACATTTGATTATCCTCATAATTAATAACCATACACAGAAAAGATCATTTTTAAAAAATTCCTTGTCATATCTATGAATCTGTTTTTCACTCTTTGTTGTAACTACTTACCTAAGTCTTTTTTTTTTCCCCCCTGCAGAATTGTTCAGGGAAAGACAGTAAGAAGGGCCTGTGAACTTTGAAAGAAGATTGTGTGACACCATGTGAAGATCAGTTTGTTATCATGTTAGCCTCTAGAACATTTAAAATTCAGTTCGGAAAAAGGTACTATTTACAACCAGCCAATAATATTTTTAATGACACATCCAGGCTGTTATCATAACAGCATGGTAACAATATTTGATGATATTTCAGATCTATTATAAAGTCTGTATTCCAGCTTTCATGTAAAATGTAAGCATGATAAGCATGCTATTGAGATATCTCAATTGAGAGTAACACTGGTGTATGGTTGCTGTTTACCAATAAAAGGACAAATTTATAACCAGTTACTTCCAAAACTAGATTTTTAAGTTGATGAAACCATTAATAGCCTTAAAAGCTTTGATGAGTTTTCAGTAATGATAATAACCTATTTAATGAGATGATGATAATGCTGATATATTTGAAAATAGTATTCAGTATCAGCAAATTTGTTCATAGGGAGATTAAATAAGGTTAAATGATCAGAATTAACCACTGTATGTATAGGGAAGGGTCATAATGAGCAAAAAATAAAAACAGTGACCTTAGTTGTTTTTCATAAGCCTGATGATACTAGTTTACTCTTATAAGACAGCTATATTGATAATTATATTTTTGTTACTGTGCTTCTATATCTGTTGGACTGTTTTTGTTGACATTTGTGTTAATAATACATAATTAGTAGGTGTTACACCTTTTTGAGGTTCCTCTGGTATTGAAGTTTACATCTATTTGTATAACTGCCATACACTGAACTTAAAATTATTTTACAACAATGTGGAATTCTTGACTTAGAAAGCTAATGTACAACATATGCAAAGAGCAATGTTTCCCATCGCCATGAGAGTTACTAATTATACAAATATTACCTCAAATATACATACAGTGGGGTCACGGTTTCTCTGAGGTGTATCTGTATTCTGAAAACTAAATCTTAAATGCTATTTTTTCATTCATATTCCTTTAGAATCTCCTCTAGAACATGATAGTGATTGTAATAGTATTAATATGATTTAGGTTGTTCCAGTGTTTAGACATGAAAGTCATCTTCCTTGTCTCATAAAGACCTAAATATAAACAAAAATGGAAAATAATGACCAGAGTTTTTACTTTCCCAGTATCTGTTTCATCCTTTGTTGTTTATTTTCATTTTAACACTGACTTCATGCACATCTAATTTTGGTCATTGTAACATAGATGAAATGAGCAAATACATAAGAATTTTATTTCAGATAAAAGTCAGGAGCTGCTGCTAGAACACAGACATGCAGGAGACATTTAACAGGAGTGAGCTCTGGAATGAGACCATATGGGCTGACAGTGCCCTGAATAACAAGGAAGGGGAGTGCTCAAGTAGGGAACTGAATAGGGACAGCTCAGAGTATTGCCTCAGAAATAACAGAGTGGGTAAATATGAAGGTACTGGGCGTTTGTGATCCTGGCCTCCCAGGCACAGAAATCAAGTCTAGTGACAAAATAATAGAGAAGGAGAAGATCCATAGCTTTAGAGTTGGCAGAACTAAAATCGAATCCCAGCCTTACCACTAATTTAGCTGTGTGATTTTGAACAAATTATTCAAACTTGCTAGACTTCCATTTCCTCATCTCCAAAATAAGAATAATAACATTTAGGTCAGGATTATTATGTAAACTAAGATGCCACAATGATCCTCATAGTTTTTCAGACTATACAGCAAGGGGAAAGCCTGAGCACCCTTTGAAGAGCATGAGGATTTGAAAGATTACCAGAAAGCACTTAAGCTTTAAAGTGTACGTTTAAGGGGCGCCTATGTGGCCCATTCGGTTAAGCGTCTGCCTTTGGCCCAGGCCATGATCCCAGGGTTCTGGGATTGAGCCCCGCATAGGGCTCCCTGCTCAGTGGGGAGTCTGCTTCTCCCTCTCCCTTTACCCCTCCCCCCTGCTAGTGTTCTCTTGCTCTCAAGCTCTCTCTCAAATAAATAAATTAAAATATTTAAAAAAAAAAATAAAGTTTATGTTTAAGTAACCTTAGATCTCAACCCTCCTCACCCCAGCCGCTTACATGCAGCCGCTCTTGTTGTCTTGCTCTACTTCTGTGGGTTGGTCTGGTTCTGCATTCTCATTCCATTGTCCACTGCCTTCTCGCCGTCCCTCCCTACTCTGCCCCACCACAGCTGAATGGCCTGTGGCCAGCACTATTGACAAGGCCTGTGGGACACACCATGCATTCGAATGCCTACTTTATACTGTGCAAATATAACAGTCCTCAGAAGCACTGACTTCAATATCTAGAATGGATTTGTCTAAAGTCCATGAAGCTCTTTTTCTGAACTTTCTTATCCTTTGGCCTATCTTTCCTAGAATTCTTGAAAACTCCATTTACAAAAATTCAATTTTCTTTTCTTTTTTTTTGCATTTCTTTCTCTAATCAATTTACTAAGTGGCGTTTTATTATTCCACAGTAGTGCTTTCCACCTTATTCGCTAAATAAACATGTCTTCCTCAGGATAGCCAAAGTGATTTCTAACACTGCAGTTCTGAAAGACAGCCCCCCAGAAATTATCCATGCCCTAATCCCTGGAAGCTGGAAATACTCTCTTCCATGGCATAAGTGAGTATTACTTTATATGGCGAACAATGTGATTAAGGATCTTGAGGTAGGGAGATTGTCCTGAATAATCTGGATGGGCCCTAAATATAGTCACAAACACACTTACAAGAAAGAGGCAAGGAAGATGTCCCCACACAGAGGAGAAGTCACTGTGACCACAGAGGCAGAGACTGGAGTGCTGTAACCACCAGAGCTAGAGGAGGCAAGGAACAGATTCTCCCAGAGCCTCCAGAGGGGACATGACCCTGCAGACACCAGTGAGACTGATTTTTGGACTTCTGGCCTCCAGAACTATGAGACAATAAAATTTTTTGCCACCAAGTTTGTGGTAATATATTACAGCAGCCTTAGGAAGAAACTAATACAGAACAAACAGCACAGATCTATAGTGGGCTAGACTGAACTTCACAATGTGTGGGAAGTAGACCCCCTTTAACACCACTTGGCCTCCCCAGTAGCTATTTGGGTAAATCAAAGATTGCCATAGGCAGCTGCTATCTTTGTTCTTTTTCTCCAGCAATTTTATTTCGCACTGTTTCCACTGCCAAACCAAGCCATCATCCTTTCTCACCTGGATGACTGTGACAGGTTCCTACTGGTCTCCCTGCGTTCTCTCTTACTCCTCTCCTAGTATGTGCTCTCGTGAATCATTATTCCCTACTTAAAGATTCCATTACCAAGACCTCACCAGGGTCCCCATTTCCTTCCAACCACACCTACACTCTGATTCTTCTTACGAGAAGCCAGCATCTTTTCTTTCAGGGCTTTTGAGCCCACAGTACATCCTGCATTCCAACCCGATCTGTCTTGACCTTATTTTATTTTCATCATAGCTCTTATCACTGTTTGAAATTATTTCACTTTTGGTTTCGTGTTGTCTCCTGCACAGTGACGAACATAGTTCCTACGCACAATAGAACAGTGTTTCTCAATTGGGAGTAGGGAAGTTGTTCCCAGGGACATTTAGCAATGCTTCAAGAGGTTTTGGTTGTCACAAGTAGGGGAATGGTCTGGTGGGTAGAGGCCAGGGATGCTGCTAAGCCCGCTCTACAATGCACAGGACAGCCGATACCCACCAAAACCACCCAAAATGTGAGTGTTGCCAAGGTTGAGACACCCTGCAATAGATGCTTATGGCCAGGAGTACTACCTGTACTGCAGTATCCATTCTCTCATTCATCTGTGGTAATAGATACCCCAGTATTTTTACACACAGCTACCAAGCACAAAGATGATATTTTCCGGTCTCCTTGTAGGCAGAAATAGAAAGGAATGTCACGTGATAGCAATTTCTTTTTTTTGCTTCCTCCATCTGCTACATGAAACACAGATGTCACCATCTTAGACCATGAGCTTAAGGCCATACAAGCGAAAGCAACAAGGTAGGGCACCTGGGTGGCTCAGTCAGTTAAGCGTCTGCCTTCTGCTCAGGTCATGATCCCAGGGTCCTGGGATCAAGTCCCACATCAAGCTCCCTGCTCAGTGAGGAGTCTGCTTCTCCCTCTGCCCTTCCCCCCCACCCCGTTTGTGCTCTCTCTCTCTCCCCTTATCTCTCACAAAAATAAATAAATAAAAATCTTAAATTAAAAAAAATAATAAGCAACAAGGTAGAAGGATATTGTGTCCCTGAGATGTGTCCCCAAACACCATACCTCCCCTGGATTGCTGCTCAGTAAATAGTTGAATAGATGAATGACATCCGATATTTTTAATGCATTGTCTGTAGACATGAATAAAATCCGTTTGTTGGATATAGCACAAAACCATCAACTTTTTTCTTTCTTTCCTACTTGCAGAGTCTCATCACCCCTGCCTTTTACATTAGGATGATTTTAAATCATATCCTCTACTTTCTCTGCGTGTTTAACTTCATTAGTCCAGCGGTAGCTTGCAGTGTGCCCTCACAGCATCTGTGCATTTCACTCTGATGGTTTACAAGAGAAGCAGACCTCTGGTCCATTCATATCTCTTTTCTCTACTGTGACTCTTGCCACAAGGTGAACAAACTCCACAGAAACAAGAGCATTCTGCTACATCATAGATACACATGTAGCACATAGGGGCTTGAGGTATAATTATGGAAATTAGGAAAAATTTAGGTTCCTACAGAGTTCTGTTCTTGGTGAGCACCCCTTTTCCTAAATTTGAACAAAGAGCATATTCGAAGTTTTGGCTTTGCCCACCCCACCCCCCCAAACCAGATGCCTTCCTGGTTAGCCAGGTTTCTCCAGAAAGTTATCGCTTTTCCAGAAATCTTTGTTCTCCCTGAAGCACCACCCATGGTAAAGAGTTTTATTGTCGTTCTTCCAAGGGCTGACAATTTCCTGGAACACAAATAACTGCAAGACCATCACTTCTAAGCCAATGGCTCCCTGAAATAACCCTCCCCAGGGGTTTGCTTCCTGAACATTGTTTTTATTTAAGTTTGCTTGTTTTCTCTTGAAACAAGATAGATGGCAAATATAGAAAGCATGAAGATTACAGTTAGCAGTTTGGTTAATGCTCTTCCACACATATACCTACACATGTTTACCAAAATGAGATTATACCATACATACTATTTGGTGACCTGCTTTAATTCTGCACACCCCGCCCCCTTTTCAGTGAGTATTCTAAACAACAGGATTCTCCAACAGGACCTTTAATAGGTCATATAAACATCACTTGAGGGGTCAGGGTTTCTTCAGACTACATCAAGTCATACTCACTCCTACCACTGAGAATTGCTGACTTGGAGGTGCCCAGCTGGCTCAGTCAGTAGAGCATGCGACTCTTGATCTCTGGGTTGTGAGTTCAAGCCCCATGCTGGGGGTTGAGTTTACTTAAAAAGAGAGAGAGAGAAAGAATTGCTGACCCAGGCAATGAGTGTCAGTGGTGGGGCCAGGCAGGAAGTACCCAGGTATGAGGGCCCCAAATGGGGATGAGACCCACTGTCCTATGACATAGAGCATTTAACTTACCCACTCTTGTTGGCCATTTCATGGGACTCTTTATTGGCAGGAGATACTCTAGAAGCAGTAGAGCATCATGACTACATGCATAGACTACCTGGGATCAAATCCCTCCTCCTTTGTTACCCACTTTGAGTCTCAGAATCTCCACCTGTAAAGTGACACCAAGACTCCACCTCCTGAACTGGCCAAGAGAAATGAGTGAGATGAAGCACATAAAGAACTTTCTCTGGCAATAAGCAACTCTGAACATCATACAAAAACTGGTACCTAGTGGTAAATTGCCCCCATTTAAAAAAAAAGGATACTGTGAAAGAAGAATTAATAAATACCTTTTAAAAGTGGATGCCCTTGTTCTACATATGACAAGGTACCATGGGGCAGTTGAGGACGCCTTTTCCTAACAACTAGGAGCAGCCGTTCCCCTGCCGCCCCAGACAACACAGGCTGCCTGTCTGCTGAGGAATGCAATAAATACTTGCTTCTTTGGATTGATTTCATTTCAATTCTAATGTGTCAGATTCTCTTCCGATGACTCTTCCCATTCCCTCTCTTTAGAGTGTGTCCTGTTATCTTAAG